CCCTTGGCTCGGGTCGTGGTCCTGGGATTGAGCCCCTCGTCGGGCTCTCTGCTCAGCAGGGAGCCCGCTTTCCCCTCTCTCTCTGCCTACTTGTGATCTCTCTCTCTGTCAAATAAATAAATAAAATCTTTTAATACTACTAATAATAAAGAATTAATAATAATTAAAAGGAAAAGTGACAAGCCATTGCTAAGATCCAATGTTTTCTACCATTCTAGAGCCAACTCCTAGTAATTATTTCCTTTGTTTTTATTTATTTATTTTTTTTAAGTAGGTTGCATGCCCATTGTGGAGTACAAAGTGGACCTGAGGGACACCTGAGTGGCTCAGATGTTTAAGAGTCTGCCTTCAGCTCAGGTCATGATCCCTGGGTCCTGGGATCAAACCCCATGTGGGGCTCCTTGCTTGAGGGGGAGTCTGCTTCTCCCTCTGCCTGTTTTTTCCCTTGCTTTGTGCGCTCTCTCTCTCTCTCTCTCTCTCTCTGATAGAATCTAAACAAAAAAGAAAGAAGGAAGGAAGGAAGGAAGGGAAAAAAAGACAAGACAAGACAAAAAAGGGGTGCCTGAGTGGCTCAGTTTGTTAAAGTTCTGCCTTTGGTTCAGGTCCTGATCTCAGGGTCCTGGGATTCAGCTCCGCATCTGGTTCTTTGCTCAGCAGGGAGCCTGCTTCTCCCTCTCCCTCTGCCTGCCACTCCCCCACTTGTGCTCTCTCTCTCTTTCTCTCTCTGTCAAATAAATAAATAAAATCTTCTAAAAATTAAAAAAAAAAAAACCCACCACGAAGTGAGGCTTGAACTCACGACCCCAAGATCAAGATCTGAGCTGAGATTTAGTCTGAGGCTTAACCAACTGAACCACCCAAGGGTCCCCCGTTTTTTTTTTTTAAGGAGGAAAAAGTCAATTTTTCCCAATGTGAATGGATTTATAACCACCCTGTGAAAGGTGGTTATAAACCACCTATAAACCACCTACTTAATTAAAAATATATGTAATACCCAAAATAATAAGTGCATTTGATAGTAGAACAGTAGAAAGAATGCAGGATCTGTGAGCTCATTAATAGCTGCATTCCACTTTTGCAGATGTTCCTTAGAAATTAGTTGAAGTTGGGGCACCTGGGTGGCTCAGTGGGTTAAAGCCTCTGCCTTCGGCTCAAGTCATGATCTCAGGGTCCTGGGATTGAGCCCCGAATAGGGCTCTCTGCTCAGCAGGGGGCCTGCTTCCCTTCCCCTCTCTCTGCCTGCCTCTCTGCCTACTTGTGATCTCTGTCAAATAAATAAATAAAATCGTTAAAAAAAAAATTACTTGAAGGTTAAAAAAAAAAAATAGATTTGTTGGGTTTTGGACTTCCTCCTTCCAGCAATGCCTCCTCAGCTACTACAGGGAACTAACTGAGGCAGGAGCAACAGCCAGAACCAGAAATGTCCTCTATTTAAAAAAACAAAACAAAACAAAACAAAACAAAAAACACCTCTATTTTCCTTAAAGGTTTTTGGTCTTGTTCTTTAAAGCATTTTAACATGTTTTGAGTGAGGGGTCAGTCAGAACCTGATTCTTTGTCCCAGAAATATTTCTATATGACTTCAGCCAAGTCACTTGACCTTTTAAGACTCACGTCCTTTTATTTTTTTTAAGATGTTCTTTATTTATTTTGACAGAGAGAGAGAGAGAACACAAGTAGGCAGAGAGGCAGGCGGCGGGGGCGGAGTGTGGGGAGCAGGCTCCCCACTGAGCAGAAAGCCCGATGCAGGGCTCGATCCTAGGACCCTGAGATTATGACTTGAGCCAAAGGTAGTAGCTTAACCCACTGAGCCACCCAGGAGCCTCTAGACTCCTGTCCCTTTTAAAAATGTGTTACTTTTTGATCAAAGTTACAAGATTTCAAGGGAGCCTGTGTGGTTCAGTGGGTTAAGCATCTGCTTTTGGCTCAAGTCATGATCTCAGGGTCCTGGGATAGAGCCCCGCATCCAGCTCCCTGCTCGGTGCGGAGTCTGCTTCTCCCTCTCTCTCTGCCTGCCTACTTGTGATCTCTCTCTGTCAAATAAATAAAATCTTTTTTAAAAAGTTACAAGATTTCAGGTCTGTCTTCTGTCTACAGTAGTCTCACAGTGCATTTGTTGGACAATGTGAACTGGAAAGCTGAGAAAATGATCCAGAATTTTGACCACCCCTCTCCCAAATTACTTGGACTTTATTCATTTATTTACTTAGTTTTTACTCTGACTTCAATTCTTGAAGTTCTTGTGTTTGCTTAAGGGGCTTCAGTACTCATGTGTTAGAAGACAAGTGTGTGATAATAAATGTGATATCTACCAAATTAGAGTATCTCTGCGTCTACATTATTTCATGGCACAAAGTTACTTGCTCTTTTACGAAATCGGATTCCATCTAATTGTCTCCTTATTGGTTCTCTTTTCTCAGTAATTAGTTACCAACTGTATTGCTTGAATAAGTTCCTGCGTTGGCCATTCTCCTTCCTTTTTGTTTTTATTATTATTTTTTTAAATTTATTTGTTAGAGAGCATGAGTGGTAGGGAGAAGCAGGCTCCCTGCTGAGCAGGGAGCCCAATGCAGGGCTGGACCCCAGGACCCTGAGATCACGACACAAGCTGAAGGCAGACCCTAAGTGACTGAGCCACCCGGCGCCCCTCCTTTCTTTTTGATTAGCCTCCCTCCCACACTGAACTCTTGTATACCCACTCAGAGGGCTTAGTGGGCTCCTGTAAGGTGTTTTAGACTATTTAGGACATTTATTGAGCTTAAATATCCTTTTTTTTTTTAAGATTTTATTTATTTATTTGACAGAGAGAGAGAGATCGCAAGTAGGCAGAGAGGCAGACAGAGAGAGGGGGAAGCAGGCTCCCTGCTGAGCAGAGAGCCCGATGTGGGGCTCGATCCCAGGACCCTGGGATCATGACCTGAGCTGAAGGCAGAGGCTTTAACCCACTGAGCCACCCAGGCACCCTTTTTTTAAGGATTTTACTTATTTATCTGACAGAGAGAAAGAAAGAGTATTCACAAGCATGGGGAGCAGGAGTCAGCGGCGCCCTTAAATATCCTTTTTATTTATTTATTTTTAAGATTTTATTTATTTATTTGACAGACAGAGATCACAAGTAGGCAGAGAAGCAGGCAGAGAAAGAGGAGGAAGAAGGCTTCCTGCTGAGCAGAGCCCGATGCGGACTCGATGCAGGGCTAGATTCCAGGACCCCGGGGATCTTGACCTGAGCCGAAGGCAGAGGCTTTAACCCACTGAGCCACCCAAGCGCCCCCTAAATATCCTTTTTAAAAGGACTTCTTAATGGGATGCCTGGCTGGATCATTTGGAAGAGCATGACCCTCTTGATCTCAGGGGTTGTAAGTTGGAACCCCACATGAGGTGTAGAGATCATTTAAGTAAAAAATTAATAATAAAATAAAAAGGACCTTTTAAGAAAAAACAAACCAAAAAGCTACCACAGTTGGACACTTGATTCTCTGACCTGCTCACATTTCACTGCATTTGAAAGGACAGGAGATGGCGCCAGAAGGCAGTGTGGAACACCTTTGGGTTTAGCCAAATCGGTCTAAGGATTGTGCTGGAGAAGTAGGAATTAAAACAGAAGTGCCAGAGTTTGAGTAGCTACTGAGGTGAAGGGAGTGGGAGGTGGGATGGCATTTTGTTTTGTTTTAATGTATAAAGGTCCTCTTGACACATACTCCAAATTAGCTTGGTGACAACAGAAATATCGTAGTGGAGCCAAAGATCAAAATAAGGACAAGTGCCCTGAGGTCAGTGCTTGCCCCCTCTCTCCCTTCCACCCAGAAACCAAGGCTTTTGTCTGCTTAGGAAACACCAGGGCCTGGAGAGGCTGCTCACTTAGAAGTGGGAAACTGCTGGTCTGGGGTTGGACATTTTAGTGAAACAATGTTTATTCCTGTAGGCAAAAATCCCAAGTCCCACCAGCAGCGAAACACTTCCCTGAAACAATCATACACACACACACACACACACACACACACACTTTAATTAAAATTTTAGAATTTAGGGGCACCTGGGTGGCTCAGTTGGTTGGGCCTCTGCCTTCCGCCCAGGTCATGATCTCGGTTCTGGGATCCATCCCACATCAGGCTCTCTGCTCTTCCCAGGAGCCTGCTTACCCGCCCCCACCCCCGCCTGCCTCTGTGCCTACTTGTGATCTCTCTCTGTGTGTCAAAATAAATAAATAAACTCTTAATTAATTAATTAATTCTTGGTTTTATTTATTTTTTTTAAGATTTTATTTATTTATTTGACAGAGATCACAAGTAGGCAGAGAGGCAGGCAGAGGGAGGGGGGTAGGGAAGCAGGCCCCCTGCTGAGCAGAGAGCCCGATGCGGGGCTCGATCCTAGGACTCTGGTATCATGACCTGAGCCGAAGCGAGAGGCTTTAACCCACTGAGTCACCCAGGTGCCCCTAATTCTTGGTTTTTAAAAAATTCCTGAGACAACCAGGAGGTGGCGCCTACAGGCCTAGGGGAAGCTGAATTAGAGTTCCGGGGTCTGGGAGGGAACTCTGACCTGGCGGAGGTCATTCTGTCCAGGCCCACTCTTTACCCCCAGGCAATAAATGTCTCCGCTTTTCTTCTTTTCTCTTTCTGTATTTCTCTCTGTTAACTATCCTGATTCCCAGGATGTCTAGTTTACACTTTATGCCTTGTACTCTTCTTAGACGAGAGGGGTGGGGCTTTGGGGGAACCTCAAAATATAAACTGCGCCTTGGAAGGGAAAAATAATTCTGAGGGTGATGATGAGAAAATGAAGAAGGAAATGATATCTGCCGAATAGTTTTAAGTCTCAGATCAATGGGGGGGGGATAGGGTGCCAGGAAGGCACGGCGGCTCCTGCCTGTGCAGGCACTGATGAGCCGGCGCATGCATTATTCTGTTCATTTGGCTTTTTCCTGCTCCCTTATTTAGCTTCTGCTCCCTTTGTTTTGGCTATTTCTTGCTCCTTGGCAGGAGGGACTAGCGCAGAGGGAAAAATGGGCGCATCCTCAGGCGGGTGACTCTGGCGAAGGGCACGGAAGAGAAAGAGGTCTCAGTGCCTGGCTGGAAATTATTTCACATTCTCTAATGGGGGATTTAGGATGTACATTCCGATCGGGATTTCCAGTCCCGTGGGGAAACAGGCACCAGCCCACATTCCTGAGACTCAGCAGTCACCATGCTCTACACATTCAGCTCCCAGTGGTAGATTTCACTCAGTCCCACAGGTCGGGCCCCTCGGCTCTTTGTTGAGCGGGAGGGAAGACCCTGGGCCCCACTTCCAACTAGATCACATGGTCTCTCAGCTCCCTCCCCTCCCTTTCTCTAGAGTCCGCCTTTTTTTTTTTTTTTTTTTTTTTTTTACGGTGGTAATGATTGTTTCAGAGGTCTCCCCCATCTCTCCTCCTGCCCTGGCCTCCCTGCCAAGGGTCAGTGTCCTCTTCAATGACAAAAGCCGCCCTAGATCTGGGCTCCCTGGGGAGGGAGGTGGCTGGGTCTGGCAGTTGGAGCCGCTGTCTCTCCATGGTGCTGCTGCAGCCCCTCCCCCGCTGGGCACACAAATGGGCTTTATACAGCAAACAAAACCACCCCCCCACCCAGACCACACGGGCACGTGGACCCAGGCCTCACCGTGGGAAGGGGGTGGTGACAGGCACATTAAGAGATTGCTCCAAACAAGTTCTCTTGCCTCACTTCTCTTCTTTATTTTCCACAAGCTGGGTTTTAGCCCTGGACTTCCTACCCTTCACCTGCACCCTGGGTCTCCAACTCCTATCTTGGAACTCTGGACTCTTCCCATTCCGGGGCAGCTCCGCTTCTGCAAGCGACAGGGAGCAGGGCTTTCCGCCCTCTGCCCCAGGCCACCCAGAGGAGTTGCTCCTCCGAAAAGCCAGACAGACCGGGAATGAGAGCACAATATCCCCCTCAGGGGCCTGGATTGGACCCCCAAGCCCTCCTTCCATGCCCCAGACCCGCTCTAGGGGACACCCACCTGGCCAGTGCCCATGAGAAGAGCAGAGGAAGGAAGAGCTAAACCCCAGCTGTGCTCCTGAGCCAGGGCCAGGGCTCCCCGTGAACCGGCTGCACGCTCCAGCTCCGCATGCCTAATAGGCTATTTAAGGAGCTGTTCGCCAGCAACCCAGGCAGCACCCCCCCACCACCATGTACACTCGTCCAGAGCCACCTTAAAAGCGGGAGGCAATTGTGAAGTCACCGGCCAGCAAGTGGAGTGAAGACTGTAGAGGTAGATTAAATAAGAGAGAGAGGAAGCGAGACATTTGTCCCAGGGATCCCAAACCCTACGCTATCCTGAAAACCAAATCCCCTGTAAGCCCACAGAGACACAGAGACAGCTAGAGAAAAAGAGATAAATAAAATCAGCTCAGCTCCAAGAAACTCCTCTCTCACTCTTTCCCACTCTGTCCCTCCCCACCCTGTTTTTCTCTCTCTCTCTCTCTCTTCCCCCCCTCCCACTGTTTCTCGGCCAACCCTCGCCCTCTAGTCCCCAAACTCCCAGTACCTGCTTCTTCCGGGGATACCATGTTGTTCTTCACTCTACTGCTGGAGGTGATTTGGATCCTGGCTGCTGAAGGGGGTAGGTACATCTGGATATCTGTGTGTCTGTCTGTGTTGATGCCCATATGCTGCCAGGTTTACTTAATGGAGTGGGGGGGAGTGGGGGAGGGGGCGGGAGGGGGAGAGATATAAAAGGAAGACTAGGAGCTTGAATAATAATGGACTCAGGGATGTGGGAGAAGAGAGAGAAGTGGGGAAAAGAGCACTTTCCTTCTTTCCCCTTTGCCTATGCAGCCTTGCTGTTTGTGGGGATGGGGGGAGGGTTGGGGAGCTAGCTGGGGAACAGGATGTGGACACACACTGCAGGAATCTCCTTGCAAGCTACAGATTCTCTCCGCACTCTTTCCTGCACTGCCCTAGTCCCAGGCAACCCTCCTGGGCCTTTTTTATTTCCGACCTCCCTCAACTAAGGGAGCCAAGGAGGTAGGAAGTAAAAAAATAGAGAGGACTGATGGGGGTGAGGGGCATCCCCCTGAGCCTCCTGACTAACTCAGACCCTGATCCCCACTCATGAACCTCATGGCCAATGTCCATGCTTGATTCTATAGTGTCTCCCTGAAAGCAGTAGCAATAATAGTCAACATTGTTGGGCCCTTTACAGCTTACAAAGGATTTTCAGAAGCTCCCAGAGATAAGGAGAACAGGCCTCGGGGCTCCCAAGAAAGTCCCCAGGACCCCTACCCCCTCATTTTTGTGTTACCTATCCCTAGCACAGTAGCGGTACACAGTAAGTGTGTAATTAAGATCCCTTAGAGGAGCAGGGTGAGGGCAAGGGCCTGGAGAGAAGAAGGGGACTGCAGGGAGGATGAAGGAGTGAGGGGGCCAGCCAAATGGAGAGCTGGAAAGTACATCTGAGGGAAAAGAAAAAACCAGGGAAAGAAGAGGAAGAGGTGAAGAACCAGCAGGTTGATAATTTGGCAGGAGGGGAAAGGTAAGGCTGTGAGCCTGCCCCAGATTGAACGCGGAATGCAAGTTGACCGAGAGTCCCATGGATCTGGTGAGGGAGAGGCTGCCTCCAGCCCTGCCCCTTGGGCTGCCTTTCAGAGTTGTCTGAACCAAGGGATGGGTGAGAAAAGAGCGCAAGGATGAGATCAATGATATCTCAGAAGTCTGAGGAATTTGAGGGAGTAAGAGAGAGATTGGAAGGAATTTAGGATTTTTTTTTCCCAGAGCTTGAATTTGAACTAGAATGGGAATAACAGAGAGAAAACCTGTGGGAAGGCCTTCCTTTTCACGCTGAAGCCCTTTGGCCCTGGGTGAGCCTGGACCAGAAGACCCCCAACCCCCACCTCAGGCTTTCGGCCTGAGATAGGACTGCACGGGAGCATGTGACCCGGTTGGCAGCTCTCTGTTCCGCACACAATGCCTCACTTTCAGCCTCTGTCTGCCAGCCTGGCTGCCGTTGCCCACCCACCACCACCCTCAACGTGGCGTGGACCTGCCCCGACTCCCACCTTCCCTAGCCATCTGGGGATCTAGAGAGCAGAGGCTCCTGGTAATGGGCAAAGTTTCCTTTAGAGCTCCTAGGACCGGAAGAACTTGAATGTTAATTCACAGCCAAGGGCCTCGCCTCAAGCCCCGACGGGGTGCTTCAAACCCAATGAATAATGGCTCTTCTCCCCTTGGGGAGCAGCATCCGTCCTCCGCCACCCCCCACCCACGACCCCTTCCCCGCACACAACCTTCCTCCCCTCCCACTCCCCCGTTCTAGTCCCTCTCTTCCAAATCCTCTGTCCACACCCTCACCTCACCCTAATCTTCTAAGTGTCGGACTGGCTTGGCTCCCGCAGGAGCGAAGGGAGGGCGGGGCAAGCTGCACTTTTGGGTCCGGGTTAATTTTAGTCTCCAGGCTCTACCTATTCCTTTCTCCTCCCCGCTCTGCTCAGCACGCTCCCTCGCCGCGGGGCTGGTGGTTTTAAATAGGGCCCCCGACCTTTCCGCCGAGGTGTCCGGTTTCAGGGCTTCCTTTGAGAAGTGCTCTGGGAGGAGGGTGGGGAAAGAAGAGAGGGAGGGGGGGCGGTGCAGTGTCCGCGGGAGGGAGAGGGCTGGCGGCCACCCCACTCTCTCTGCCTTGCAGGTCAACACTGGACATACGAGGGTGAGAGCAGAACCCAGGGCCTTCCGCTACCCCTTTCGCACTGGGACCTCTTCACCTGCCGGGAAGACTTCTTTCGAGTGGGTGGGGAGTTGCCTTTAGCTTCCGACCCCAGCTCCTCCCTCCCCCAGACCCCCAGGCCCTACCTTTTACGTATATGACTCCTAGACCCGGTTCTGTCAAATCCCACACCTCCGGATTCAGCAGGAAGGCCAGTGATATCCTCAGTCAGTGTGTGTGGGGATGAGGGAACTGGAGTGGAGAGGAAACCAGGTAGGGAAAGGAACACTGATCTTAGCTGCCCATCCACCACTTCCTGGCTCTTTTTCTGACCTCAGAGATCCTACTTAATCTGGAATTGAGACAGAGCCTGAGGTCCGTCCAGGAGGCTGGCAGGATAGTTGGTGACCCTGACGGAGGCGGACTCAATTCCTTTGAATTTCTGACTAATAAGCAAATTCCAGAGTCAATGCAAAGTCCTGTGTGAGAGCAAAAAATGAATGGTGGGGAGTCAGCAGAGGGAACGAAATCCACAGGCCACTTCCTAGGGGGCCCCCAAGAATCATTCATCATTCTAGGATCATTTTATTTCCCCAGCTTTCCTGCTTCGGCTCTAGTCCCACTTTTCCAGGCATGCAGGTTTTCTATCCATCCCCTTTTCCTTTCATTCAGCTTTCTTGTCCCCAAACTACAGGTAAGTAAAAGCCACTACTCTTATCTATCAGAAAAGTGGGGGAATCATCACTGTCTCAGGGAAGGTGAAGGGTGCTGCCGCATCAAGTCCATCAGTGACCCCTTCCTCACGTAGCCCTACACCTGGGGTCTTTGCCAACGGTTGGGGTGGGAGGGAGTTCCTGAAGGGTGGCTGGAGCTTAGAGGGCAGGACAAATGACCATGGTACTCTCCACCAGGCCCACATGGTCAAGACCACTGGTCAGCCTCTTACCCTGAATGTGGAAGCAATGCCCAATCCCCCATCAATATCCAGACAGACAGTGTGACTTTCGATCCTGAGTTACGTCCCCTGCAGCTCCATGGATATGACCAGCCTAGCACTGAGCCTTTGGACCTGCACAATAATGGCCACACAGGTAAAAAGCCCAGGCTCCATGGAGGGATAAACTCCAGTTCCAATCTTAGAAGTCAGGGAAAAGAAGCATTTGCCTAACTTCTAAATTCTCGGGTTTCATCTACAAATCTGGAGGTACAAAAGCCAAAGGTGGAGAGTGAATGTCTACAATCAGGGTGGATTTAGCATCATAACATCAACTGGATCCTCACTGAGAAAGGGAGAGATATGCTAGGAAAGCCGTGGTGGGAAGGACTGGGTGCCACTGGGGAACGGAGGTAGAAAAGGCTGGCCCAAGTCTCCCAAGGAACAGTGGCGTCAGAGGGGTAGGAATGTCTCCACACTCCTCCACCAACCCTAGCTTGCTCTCTTGTCATCACAGTGAAACTCTCTCTGCCCTCTACCATGTATCTGGAGGGACTTCCCCGAAAATATGTAGCTGCCCAGCTCCACCTGCACTGGGGCAAAATGGGATCTCTGGGCGGATCAGAGCACCAGATCAACAGTGAAGCCACAGCTGCTGAGGTACCAGGGAGCAAAGCGTGGACTGGGACATAGCAACAGGCATGGTTGGTGCCAGGGAAAGGAAGAATCTGGAAACTGGGGAAAGTTTCACCTTTGTGGGACAGGTTTAGGGCACTCTGGAGGTGGTTGTGGTGGCTAGGATCAAAGCCTTTGGGAAGGGGTAATGGAGAAACATTAAATGATTTAATTCCCTCTCCCCTCCCTCAGCTCCACATTGTACATTATGATTCTGATTCCTACAACAGCTTGAGTGAGGCTGCTCCGAAGCCCCAGGGCCTAGCTGTCTTGGGCATCCTCATTGAGGTCAGTGGCCCCCCAGACCCTCCCAGGTTTCTCTCCAATCTCTCTACACCCTGCAGTCCTATTCTCCCCATGTCTATTGCTGCTCTCCCTCCCTAGGCTAGTCAGCAACCCATTCTGACTGCCAATTTATTCTATATGTGAACATCATACTTCAAACGGGGACTCATTCCAAACTCTCTCCCTTTCCAGGTGGGTGAGACCAAGAATCCAGTTTATGAACACATTCTGAGTCACTTGCATGAAATTAGGCATAAAGGTGAGCCTGTGAGATTGAACCTCAGGGGTATTTGCCCAAAAAGGCCTATGAGGCCTAGGATGACAGTGAGTTAGGGGCCAGGGGTTTTGCTTCTGGGAACTCTATCTAGGTAAGCTGGGGTACAGTGAGGGGAAGAGGAGTCCTAGTCTGTTCTCCTCCAGATCAGAAGACTTCGGTGCCTCCCTTCAACGTGGGAGAGCTGCTCCCCACACGGCGGGACCAATTCTTTCGCTACAACGGCTCGCTCACCACACCCCCCTGCTATCAGAGTGTGCTGTGGACAGTCTTCAATCGAAGGGCTCAGATTTCGGTGGAGCAGGTGAGTCATGGAGAGGTGAGGTAGCAGGGACATAACCTCACACCCTTTCCCACTCCACAAAGTGACAATTCTCCCCTCAACCCACCCTTCTACTCCTCAGCTGAAAGAGCTTCAGGAGACGTTGTTTTCCACGGAAGAGGAGCCCTCTAAGCTCCTGGTACAGAACTACCGAGCCCCCCAGCCTCTCAATCAGCGAATAGTCTCTGCTTCTTTCATCCAAGGTGACTATACCAGGCTTGGAAAAGGAGATGGGAAATTGGCGGGCACGGCAACAGGAACTAGGGCCCCTTGGGAAGAAAAGAAAGGCTGGGAGGGGAAGGGGTTTCTAGGACTTGCTTGGACTAGGACTACCACCAGTCCCTTGAGTGCCAAGTGATGATCTCCCCCAGCATGGAGGCATAGTGTGCTGCTCCCAGCTGGAATGGGGAGCTCAAGTCCCACTGACCAGCATCTTCTTCCCTTACAGTGCAATCCTCCTCTACTACAGGTAAGACACCCTGAACCAAGTGGGGGCCGGGGGGGGGCACACCACAGTAAGCGAGGCAAAGTCTCAGTATCTTTGTCACTCTTAGGATGACACCTTCCGTGTTTGTCTCTCCCAGGCGAAATGCTGAGTCTAGGAATGGGAATCTTGGTTGGCTGTCTTTGCCTTCTACTGGCTGTTTATTTCATCGCTAGGAAGATCCGGTGAGGTCCTACTTTCCATTCCTTCAGTCCTTTCTTTTCTACTGAAAGCACTCTATTCTATTGTTAATCTGTTTCACCTGGGACACTAGTAATTTCCATGAACCATTCCCCCTTCCAGGAAGAAGAGACTGGGAAACCGGAAAAGCGTGGTCTTCACCTCAGCACCAGCCACAGAGGCGTAAATCCCCTCCCCCGCCCCCCGCCCCATTGCCAACATCATGGATGCCTTCCCCTTGTGCCAATTGGAGAGCTTCTAAAATGAGGTGCAGGGACTGGTCAGAAAATACTGTAAGAGTAGTGGGCAGAGACCCCTCCTTCCTCCAGACAGCCCCTACAGAGAGGCATGGACAGGCTCTGGTTCGCGGACTAAGAGCAGAGCCTTTGACCTCTCGAAATGTACAGATCAGGACAACCCTATGTTGACAATGCAGATGGCAAACTGTGTTTAGCTGTGGAGGAAGCTGGGGATGTACCTCCCAAAGTCGTCCACCCCCTTACCTTTATGTGTTTTTCCCTAGATATAGGGCAGGACCTCCCCTTAGGAAAAAGAGTTGCTGCTGTTGGGGTTATTATTATTATTATTTGTTTTTTGCTCAATATATCTGGAAATGAAAAATTTCTAATCCCACCTCTGGTCTTCCTTTGGGGCTCTTGAGAGGGGAGGAGTTCCTTAATCCCTCAGGTGGCAGAGGTTGGCAAAGGACAGGGGAAAAGAAGCATAGGTAAATGACTCTTTTTACCCCAGTCCTGCAAGAGGAGATCTGCCTCTGGAAAATACTTAACCCAAAGTTCCTGACATGTGAGAGTGCCAGCCCAGATTTCTGTCCTCATACCAAAGCTATGCTGGAGGGAATCAGAGGTTGCCAGATAAGGAAGGAGGTTGGATAAGAGATGTGGGAGGGCAGAGGTCTTGATTAACATGTTATCCCCTCCCTTAAAAGCCAAGTTCCCCCACAATTATAAAGTCCTTTTTATTAGTCAAAATCACAATCACCTTGATTAAAAGGATGCAATATGCCATCCTCAGCAGAAAATGGTACAGTTTATAGAAAACCTCCCCACCCCCCCTTCCCATCCCCCAATTAAAAACTAGAAAAAAATCTGCCCTCCTTCCCTGTGATGTCATGGTAGTCTGACTTCTCCAGTGGCATTGCAGCTCTGGAGTGGGCCAGCTCACCGCAGCACCCTCCACTTCACCTTGGGGAGGGGAGGGATGCTGGTGGTCAAGGAGGTTAAAACATTAGTTCCAGTAATACCAGTTTCCCCAAACATGCACTTCCTTCCTTTCCCCCAAGGCCTGGGACAAAGGGGAAAAGTGGATAGATATAAGCCCCACCATGAGGAGCAATTTGGGGAGGAAAAATATAGTTCAAGGAGGTTAGAAGAATTCCAACACACCTCTTCCCTCCCCCACTCAAAAAAAAGAAGAAAGAAAAAAAGAAAGAAAGAAAAGGAAAGGAAAAGAAAAGAAAAAAGAAAAGAAAAAGGCAGTTTGGGGTCTTTATCACACCAAAAATGGTTCCCCTCAGACCTGAGAAAAAGATCAAGACGCCCAGTCTGGGGAGGAGGTACTGGGAAACTGAGAGCTCATCTACCCTTGAGCCTCCATTAATTTCATCTCCACAGCAACGGCTAAGCTAGGTCCCTTTTCTTGGCAACCTGCACTGTCCAGGACTGGAGATGGAGAAATACAGGGCGAGGAGATCAGGAGGGCACCCCAGGCCTAGGGGTCCCCCCCACGTTCCCTCAGTCCTCGGGTGGGATGCGCAGGGCAGAATACACCATCACCCGACTGTCCTCCTGCCGGCGGCCTGCAGAGGGGAAGGGGGGTGAGTCTTGCGCAGGGTGAGAGCAGAGCACTGACACATGGGGAGTCCTGGACAACGAGGGGGGTCCCCAAATGGTGGGGATAAGTACAGATTCAAACCCACCAGTCACTGACTGGCTGAACCCAGGCTGCTCCTGGTGAAGCCTAGAGACTAAAGGTGACGAGTGGACAAAGCAAAACCCTGAAGGTGGTGGGATGGACCGACGAGGAGACAGAGAATGGTGGGCAATGGACCCGGGCTAGGGCTGGGCTCAGTCATGGGCAGTGGGAAGGCAGGTGGGATCTGTCAGGCGATCAGTCCAGGTAGTCAGTCCTTACACGAGAGGCTGCGCTGGATACTTCGGAGAGAACCTCCAGCTGTGATGAAGGCCCAAAGCCCCATGGAAACAGTGACTGCATAGATGGGCAGCAGGCTAGCCTCATACCAAGGGTTCAGGAATGTCTAGGGATAGGGTAAGAGTAGAAAAGAAGTTAGTTTCTCCCTCTGCCTAATCACCACATTCTCTTCCTGCCTTTGACCCAAACCTCCCCCCACCCCAGGTGGCTCACTCAAACCCTCCCCACCCCCTACCCCTCCCCCATCCTTCCCTTCAGGGCACCAACATCTTGTGGTTTAAGAGGACTTTTGATTTTCAGCTACCCCAAAGGTTTCTGACCCTCCTGCTCCTCTCAGCCATTTGTATTACAGTCGGACTAACCCATTCAAACTCCTCCCAGAGCATCCCCAGAGCAGGTTATACAACTGATGCTGAGGTGAAAGACTTCTAGACACTTACCTTTCTGCCACGCCTCTCTAGGTACGTTTTAAAATGTTAAGTGAGAATCTATCTCCCCTCCATCCCACTCACCATTAAAGTTTTTTCTCTCTAACTCAGCCCGGTATCCCCAACTCACCAGTCCCGATGTCAGTAGGTGACTCCCAACCACCAGGCCCAAAGCCCAGTACCGTCTCCTCTCACAGGCGTCAAAGAACACAACTCCCCAAAAGGTATGGAGCAGGATAATGGCTGCTGTCAGAAAGGCTGCAGGGAGGGAGATGGGGATGAGCTACATCCCTCATCTTCTCCCAGCCTCCTGAGATGTTGAGCCAAAGAGGTCTCCCAGTGAAGGCTAATAAACCAGATCAAGGCCAGGGATGGATAGGGCAGGAAGGCAAGCCGGAAAGCAGACCTTACCTGAAGTCAGGAAGTAATAGGGTGAGTCTCCATGGATGCCAACCACACCAGGCCCAAGTGCATCAGCCAAAATATTGATAACAGAGAAGACACCACTGATGATACCGAAGGAAAGACCAGAAACTGGGGGGAAGGAGGGTCTCATCAATGTTACAGATCTCTATAACCTGATTACCAGTGATCCCGCCCCATTCCCAGTGGCAATTCTCCCACACCTACTCTCCCCTCCAGACCACCTCTCCTTGGAAGTCAGGTATGAAGGAAAAGCAGCAGCCACTTAGAACACGTGGATGTTTTTTACTTCCCTGGGAGAGGGGGGGTGTCCAACTCCCTCCTCCAGTCCCTCTCCCTTGGCTCACCATAGGCCATCTGGCGGATGGAGATGGGTGATCTTCCGTCCTCACTCAGCGATGCTAACCCCTCATCTGCCTTCCTGGGATGGGGCAGGGTGGGGTGGGGTAGGGGAAATATGAGGAAGGGCAGGAATGCTCCTTTCCCTCTAACGTCCTCCCTTAGTGCCTCCTCTTCCAAACCCACCACCCAGCATTTTGCCCCGCTTCTCATAGTGCAGTCCTCTGCCCTTCTCCCCTCGGAACCATCCCATCTTCTTACTTAAGCAGCTTGTAGTAGGCAAAGCGGAACACCTCCTGTAGAAGGACGGAGACCGCAGCACCAAAAATCAGGAGGCCATACTGGAGCCGGGCATCTGACCGGTCGGTCACATGGACCAAGATGAACCAGACCACAGAGGCCAAGAGCAAGGAGACCAGCCAGAAAAATGCCCTGAGGAAAGACAAGGGCAATCAGACAGGTCAGAGTAGGGAGAGCCAGAGAAATCAAGGAGGGGAACCAATCAAGGCTGCAGTATGGAAAGTGGAAGTTAGACTTCCGGATGGTCAGGGAGACTGGGAGGAGACAGGATCGGTGTCTCCACCAAGGGAGTCATGTAGGGATCTGGGCGCAGGGGAAGGGATAGAAGTCTGATTAATGAGTCTTCAGAGCGATGAAAGCCAGAATGTACGCGCGCAGTAGCGAGAGGTATCCATTCCTGGATCCTCCCGTAGGCCGCCGGAGGTCAGCACACCCCCCCCTCACGAGTCTTGGCCTTGGGCCTCCTGTGACGTCGCCGGGAGGAGTATAGGAGGAATCTGTGCAATCCCTGGAAGGCGGAAACCAACTGCGGGAAAGGGCAAATCATCTACACCCCTGACTCGACGCTTTCCAATCTTCACCTCCGACTTGTCTCCCCCAACTCAGGCTCCCAAGCTTGCCCAGCCCCTTCCGGATCTCTCTCTCTCTCTGGCGCCCTCCCGCGTCTCGTCGACCCCCTACTCACCCCGCGACCAGGATGATGACGCGAAGAGGGTCCCCAGCCACAGTGATCAAGAAAAGCGCAAAGGCCGGGCCGAAAGCGACGAAAGTGCATCCGAAGAACACTGCGGCCCCCATGGCTGAGCAGCAGGGGGCGGAGTGGAAAGCCTGGCCAAGAGGGGTGGATGGGGGCAGGACGCCAGCTGGGGAGTCCGCTTGGGGTGGCGACGCGACCCCGTGAGGGGCGCGGTGCAATGTCACCCCCGGACCCCGGGGAAGGGGAGGGGGGACACCGAAACCCCAGATACAGGTCCGCGCGACTTCCTCTACGGAAGCCGAAGAGGGAACAAACCCCTGCCGCAGCCCCATGGCCACCTCCCATCCAATCCCCACCCACCGAAGGCCAATGGAGATTCGGCGGGGGCGGAGCTGCGGGGGCGGGGCAGTACTACCTGCTGGGAGTTGTAGTCCTGCCCTACTGAGCCTTCGACAGGCGTTCTGGGAGTGGCTCCAGCCGGTCAAAGAAGGGAGTGGGTTGGGACTGGCCTGGGTTCCTGGGTCCCGATGGGCCTTGCCTGCGGCTTCCATTCGTTATTTTGTGGAAGAGTGGTAGCAATTGTACGTCTTCGTGAAGAGCTGCAGGGGTGGCGGGGGGTGGGGGGTGGGGGGGTGGGGGGGGGGGGGAAGATCCTGTTGGAACCTAAAGGACAAATACAAAGAAGCACAGGATAGAGGGTGCAGGGAGATAGGGACGGGTATTGTTCTTACTTGAATGAGAGGAAATGGGCTAGAGCTACTGCCTAAGAGATGAAGGTTAGACTTAAAAGTAAGATGCTTTTAACAGGCTAGTATAGGAAACATGCAATTCTGTGGGTATATCGCTAATGAAGCCTTCATCTGTCATGACCAGTGAATCAGAAGAATAGGAGCCTGGGAAGCAATGTTAGGAAGGAGGTTACTTGGGCTTTGGTGTTAAGATTCAAAGTCTTAACTGTTTGTAAAAAAGCAATTCGAGCTATGGGGATGAAGGAAAATCGCACACACATACACATACACACACACCAGCCAAGTCACACAGTTCCTTTTAGGTCACACTTCCTCCATTTATTTTCTGAAAATGAACCTCAGTGGTATCTTTTCCTTAGGCTGGTGGAAGGCACAGTGGCTATGTGTATCACAGTGAGAGAAAATTAAAGTAGGAGAAGAGGGTATTGTAACCTCATTTGGATGGGGCTAGGGTCTGCCTTTAGGAAGGATATTTAGGTAAAAGAGTACCAGGATGGGAAAGTGAGGACATCTGGAAAATTGTTTTTGAGAGACTATCAAAGTACCAAAAAACCACAGAAATTGTTCAAAGAGAACCAGGCTTCCTTTCCTTCCTGGAAATGACTTATGACTTAATGCATATGGGTACAACCACACAAGCATTTTACATTTTTTTTCCAGGAAATTCTTAAAAGGAGCTGAAGGAATAGGTTGTGTAGATTTACATGGAAAACACCATAATCAAGCAAATCCTCCCCCCAAAAGGCTGAGAGGATGGAAACATCCTGGCCAGTGCTCAAAACTCCAGTATGTCTTGCTTCTGAGCCTAACAGGCTGAGTCAGGGGAAGAGATAGGAATGAGACAACTTTTCTTATCTCTCCTTTGAGCTATTACCACAGCACCTTCTGACCGATGAGAGCAGGCACTTAAACCTGTCTTGTCCACAGGTGGTTCCACAGAGACCCTCATAGCACCTGGCTCTTAGTAGCTGTTGAATAGAAACTTATCAACTTCCTCTTAAAAAACATAATAACGCTCATCCCCTTGCCAGTAGACCCTGCATTGCCTATCAGACCAGGCCCAGCATATATGTTACTAAATGTTTCTGAGTTGAATGAAATGAAAAGGGGAAATACAAAAGCAGAGAAAACAGTGAGATGACCTCTATCCCTGTGGGCTGGAATGAAGGGAGCATACCAAGTGACTGAAAGTGGGAGAAGGACGGGGCATCTATACGGGAAAAGAGGCTGTTTCCTCCCTTCTTCCATCCTGTATCCAGAAAGTAGAGAAAGAAATGAAATGAGGTCAGTACTCACTAGAGAGGAAATAACTAGCCTTGGCTGAGAGATTTTTATCAGAAGTAATGCAGTAAGTGCTTTGAGTATCAGACAATGATGTTGATATTGCTTGTGTACTTCATAATCCAAGATAGGCAGAGGAGGGGAATTTTTTTCAGTCCAGAAAAAATGCTCATCCCTTCCTCACAACATTTTGCCTGTGAAGAGAGACTGTGCATAAGCCTCAAGTCTGCTTAGTGATGGTAAGTCAGGGACAGTGAGAAGAAGGGGGATCTTGTTGTGAGGACTGAGGAGGGAAGGAGAGGAGGGGAGACAGGAAGTTCCTAGGCCAGCTGAGGTTTTTGTTTTGGTTTGGCTTTTTGCTTGTTTGTTAGCTTGTCTTGGTGGTGGCCACCTCGGGAGTCCTGAATGGATCTAATCTAGGGCTGGGGAATTCAGTGCACCCATTCACCTCAAAACCCACTTTGCCTCTCTTAATCTGGGCAGATCTGGCTGACCAGTCACAACTGAGGATCTAGTCCGTCAGCAAGTGGGTGGGGAATTCAACCCCCTGGGAGAAGAGTTGCTGCAGCGTTGGAGGAGGGCAGAAGGCGGGGTAAGTTTGGTTAGAAACTCTGTAATTTCCTTTTTTACTTTCACAACAATAGTGCAGAATACAGAATGGATGTCCTCTTCGTAGCCATCCTTGCTGTGCAACTTATCCTAGGTAAGTTCACTTCTCTCCCTGAGCTCTTGGACCCGGTCTTCTATCATAAGTGGGGTGGGAGAAAAGAAAAATGAGGATAGGGTGAGAGGCGCAATTTGATGGAGAGTGATAACACCCATCTGTGCCAGAGTCCAGTTGGGGGCAGGGGGAGGGACCTGGAACACAGAGCCAGGAAAAGGGGAGGAAAGCAGAGTCCTGTCAAAGAAGAGACAGCTGATGCGGATGGAGCCCCAGATACTTGGAGGTCCTAACAAGAGTGACCTTAGCTCTCCATCACCAGAGTTGAGTAAGATGGAGAGGGACTCCAGAGAGGGTGGAGGAGAGAGGTGGGCTCCTGGAAGGTGGGGCAGTCTGAAACTGGTGAGAGAAGCCGGGTTATCTTCTTTCCCAGAGGACTGGAGAAAAACCGATATATTAGTAAGGAAACAGAAATGGGGGGTGGTGGCCTTTAGGGTAGTAGAGAACTGGCTTCCCTCCGGGAGAGAGTCCCAAAAGTAGCTTGGCTCCTTCCCTCCTTTGTTCCCAGACTGCCAGGTACTCTCATTGTTTCCTTTTCCTCCAGACTCGGGTGTCATTGCCTGGGACTTGGGGAGAGCATTCAAGGAGCTTAGGGAAACATGTAGTTGGAGGCCTGGAGTCCTTGATCTAATCATGCCAAAGCCACATATTTTTAGTCCTGGGAAGGAAGAAAAACTAATGCAGATGGGTCATTTAGTCCAGCTGACTCATTTAAAGAGAGCGGATGTTAAGTGGCTTCTTCAGGATTGTTCTGCTAGTTAGCGGTGAATCCGGAACTAAAACCCAAGTCCAAAAGCCTAAGATGTGTGTTTGTGTTATGTGTGAGACACACCAAGAAGAGAAGGAGGGCTCTCACAAATCCAGTACGGTGTGCAGAGTACTGGGGAGGCGATTTGGAGTTCTTCTTTGCTGGCACCTCTGCTTCCTACCTTTTTAGCTTTAGCTCTCATTTTGGGTTTACAGAATGTGAAGGGATCTGTTTTCTCTCTAGGAGTTCCTAAATTGAAAGGGCATGGAGTAACAGCCCTCATCATAGATATGGAGCCCCAAAGACTGAGGAGGGTTTAGAGGCAGTGAGATAGTAAGACCCTTGGAGGGGGAGGCAGAGAGAAAAGAAATTGATAGAGCTGAGGTCACCTTCTGGTGGCCTTTTCTTGCTAAGGAGTTCCAGATGCTCCCTGACTTCTAGTCCTTGTCCCCATAGGACAAGAATATGAGGATGAAAAAGGACTGGAAGAGGAAGATTATTATCAGGTGATCTATTATTACACAGTCACCCCCAATTATGGTGAGTATGTATAAGGCTCTGAGCTATAGCAGGACGCACAGAGGTTTTGGGGAGATTTAGTTCTGAGACTTTGCCTTTCTCTTTGCAATGGGAACAACTAGATCAGAGAGAAATTAGGCTATGAGCAAAGCCCTTATCAAGCCTCATAATGTTATTTCTCAAGCTAGTGATTTTCAATTCTTTGGAAACCTGCTGAAACAATTTGAAGATTTTCAAATTTGTAAATTATTTTCAATACCAGTTTGAAAACATAAATGCAGATACATTCAAAAACATTTTTAACATTCAAGTTCATTAGAATTAGATTACACCAGCAAATTTTGCAACTTGAGCAAGTTAAAGTATTCTGAGCAGTTTCTACCTCCTTCCATTTCTTGACCTACTGCTACCTTTTTCATTTGTCACTACTGATTTTTTCTCCTCCCCAGATGACTTCGGTGCAAATTTCACTGTTGATTACTCCATGTTTGAATCTGAGGACAGACTGGTGAGCGACCTCTACATCTCAGATGGTCGGGATAGTTAACAGTTAAAAAAAGAACTGGGCAATGTCGAAATATAAATGATTAGCAGGAATGGAAATAAGTTAGTGAAATGGGACTGGGAAAGAGGCCCAAAGCAGACATGTTAACCACAGTTAGGGAAGAGAATAAAACCAGAACTCAGTAGGTTTGCGAAGACATTGAGAGGGAGGGGCACACCTTAGGGAAGAGAATAAAACCAGAAACTCTGTAGGTTTGCGAAGACATTGAGAGGGAGGGGCACACCTTGACTCTGGGGAATTGGTGATGCGATCGGGTACATAATCTATGCAAACGTAAAGTAGGGAGGATCCCTGAGCTTAAGTTTTGGGGGATGGGGGGGTGCAGGAGAGAAGGAGTCTAAACAGAAAAACTTTGAGGATGTTGGATGGAAGCAATGATAACTTTGTGTTTCTTGATCCTACTGAGGGCAGAACAGGCTGGATAAGGAGGTAAGGGAAGCAGCAGAGACTACCATTAGTCATGAAACAGAAGGTGCAGACACTCAGAAGCCGGAAACAGTGAAACCAATGACAACGGAACCAGTAAGTGGGTTGGGGATGGTGGGGCAGGGCGGGGTGGGGGGCAGTGGTGGATCCCAGGGCTGGTGACAGAGAACAGAGGGAGGGCTGAAATAATAGGCTTCGGTGGAAGAAGGAACCAAATAACTAATATAGCAATGCAGGTGTCTAGCTCAGCTTGGCCATCATACCTCTCGCTGAGATTTTGTTTAGTTGCTTTTTTTTCTAAAAAGATTTATTTATTTATTTATTTAAGAGAGAGAGAA